AGTCCAGCTCGTCCCTGCCTCCCTAACCTGTTCTTCCTCCCACCTATCCCCTCCTCCCACCTCAAGCCGCACCTCCATCTCCTACCGACCAACCTCATCCCGCCCCCTTGACCTGTCCGTCCTCCCTGGACTGACCTATCCCCTTCCTAACTCCCTACCTACACTCACCTTTCCTGGCCCCATCCCCGCCTCTTCGACCTGTTTGTTTCTTCTCCACCTATCCTCTCCTCTATCCCTCTTCTATCCGCCTCCCACTCTCTCCCTATTTATTTCAAAACCCCCTTCCCCTCCCCCTTTTCTGATGAAGGGTCTAGGCCCGAAACGTCAGCCTCTCTGCTCCTATGATACTGCTTGGCCTGCTGTGTTCATCCAGCCCTGCACCTTGTTGTCTCGGATTCTCCAGCATCTGCAGTTCCTACTATCTCTCATTGTAAATTTATGGTTTTACCATTATTTTCTCGTGTTCTCTTCACAAAGTCATGTAGGTTTGATTTCATTCTTATGGAATTTTCAGCTGGGGAAACAAAGACCCAGGTAGTTTCAATGCCATGAAATTTAAAGAGGGAGCTATGCTGCCCAGAAGGGTTAAAAACAGTAAAAAAAATTTAATGCTTGGAAATGAACATACTGGTCATGCAAGAGGTCCATTTTGAGGGATACATGATGACGCAGACCAGTATTTCATATTCACAAGTTTTACTATCAAATATTTCTTGTTCTTTGTACTCAGGCTGATTTTTCATCAATTGCTTTTTCAAGTCACTCCAATTCTCAGTTGAGAGGGTAAACAACAATCTGGTCTTGGGCCACTGCTGATGCTGCTCAGTTTATTGTGTGTATTTGCACAAGAGTGGCTCTGGTGCAACAAACTATTTTGAGGATGTGTTGGGAAACAAATGTCTTACACTGTGTTTCTTCCAAAACAGAGCTCAGCTGGCTGGATGGATGGCTAATTTACAGCACAGAGTGACACAAGACAATGGGTTCAATTCCTGTGCCGGCTGACGGTACCATGAAGGACTCTCCTTATTCAACCTCTCCCCTAGCCTGAGGGATGGTGACCATCAGGTTAAACCACCACCAGTTGTCTGTCTCTAATGAGCCTTTTGGGAACTTTACCATTACCTTCTAAAGGAGAATTCTACATGCAGTTCATCTGTTGTATGTTCCAAATCTCAACTGGATTTAAAGAAAAATTTGGTGGTTTTTTTAGGTACTCATCAAATCTTGTTTGATGACACTCTGACGAAGTGCCTTAGAACATTTTACTACAGTAAAGCTCCTACTTAAATGCAAGTTGTTGCTGTATGTAAATTGAAAACAAAAACATTCAGAATGTCAAAGGGCCAACTGATTCATTACTGTCCAAAACAAGGCTCATCCCCTCTTTACCTTCAGAGTACTTGTCCTCACTTACACATATATTGTATCAATGCATTCTCAATCCTTCCAACACATATGCTTTTGCTGATCCGAGATCCACATGTAACTTGGAGACAGAATTCTGGTCACATAGACCCAAGTTAACAGCAGCAGATTTTTGCTGTGGAGATTGCAAGTCAGGACAGGGAGGCATAATGATGGGCAAGTGATGGCAGTCCCCTGAGCCTCATGCAACGTTGGCAACATCCTGATATTCAATCTCTTTCATGTGTTGGATAGTCCATAGAATTCACTGAAACTATGCAGTGTCTGTTGAAGAATGCAGAGATATACTGCAATGGTAACTTGGCTCCATAATTTTCTTTTCAATAATACTGAATTATATATTGACCTGAAATACGTAGAACGAGGATTGAAATCTTCCTGTTGATTTGAATTTTCCTGAAAAAAGTTTTTTTGCACACTTTGTTGGAATGAACAAATAATGGCCTTTGCGGTCATACCTTGGTATCAGAAGTATGTCATTGCTGTGATTAATCTGTGACACTCAGCTGACT